TCTAACCGCTTGCGTGACAGCAGTCTCACTATAAAAAAAACAACTTCCTCAAGCTGCCACGAAGAAAAAAGCACCAGGAACTACCAGAACCTGCTCTGTGTGGACCCTAGGAATCATTTCAACCATCGAATAACCTTCTGATCTGTCCAGATGTGGAGGAAAAAACCTCTGGGTTGATCTGGGTGGGACAGCCTGAGGGCTGTGGAGCCTTAAAAAAAGCCACAACTTTACCACCAAGATCACACAAACACAACTTTACCAATGGCAAATTGAGGGGGTAAAGGCAGGTTTTTGCTCCTGATCTGGCCCCTGTTCTTTACCTGGTGGATTTCTTCATGGCTGCAGATTCTCGTGAGAGTCCACAGGAGAGAGAGCGGTCCGGGTGGCTTCTGTCCTGTTCAGCTGCCCCAGCAACACACAACACACACCACTTCCTCCTCCTTCACCCAGCAAACTTTTATCCCAGCCCTCAGGTCGGCGCCGGCCAATCAGGGCCCAGAAAAGCCGCCCACTAACAACTAACCACACCCCCCCGGCCCCCGGAGGGCCGGAAATCTGATCCATCAGCAGAAATACAAGGGAGGAGAGGGGAGGGGCCTCCATGATTAGAGGGGAAATAAAAAATAGTCCAATAATAAAGACAGCCGAGAGAAAATGTTCAAATTAACTCAGTTTTCAGATTTTTTTCAGGCTCAGATTCGCTCGTCTTCTATTTATATTTTGCTCCAGAGTTGGCGGAAATTCTTAAAAGTTTTCAAATTCGTCTCAGGTGGATCTTTCAAACTTCTTTGGACGTTTTTAGTCTCTTAAGCCTCTGATTATTCAGCCGTTCAAACTCGCCCATGATTGTATCTACACAAAACAGACGGTTAAACAAAGGAGCCGTTTGAAATCCGATATCCAGCGTCTGATATCTTAGCAACTGTCTCTACGGGAGATGTCAAACACAGTTTAACTTTTCCAACATGACCTGAGAGGAGGACCAAAACAGACCGCAAAGAGCTCAAAGTGCCAAAGACAATAAAACACCGACAACCTGTTGGACAGTCGGACTTTTTAAAAACTTTTCTTTGGAGTTTGACTCCTTTGTTGCTATTCAATAACTCAAAAAAAGAGTCTGAATTCTCCAGAGCGAGCAGCTAGTGACAGTTTGGTCTGCAGGAAGCTGCTAAAATGTGCAGAACAGGCTTTGGATTGGTGATGCCTTCAGGTTCCTGCTCATTCTTGTGTTTTCCTCCTTCTTTTTCCTCTTTTTGGTGCTTTCAGACAACATGGTTGTGCCTCATTTGACTTCAGATCAAAGATCGGCTATTTCTGACATTAGTTTTTGAGCCGACCTCTTTTAAAAGTGGGGTTTGAACTCTGGCATATCTCAGTTTGACGGCCTTTTGGCTCTTCTGTGTCGGTATAGCTCTAATTAAACAGGTGTGAAACACTTTATCTCTGTATCTGAGGCCTTTTTGAAAAGGGGAAACTCCAGCCTTATCTCCTTATCCTGTTCCTCTGATATCTGAAATGCTTTGTAACTCAGTCTGTTTAATGTCTCTGTGATTTGTAATGATCTAAAAGTCTTTTTACAGACTCGGTAAAGTGAGAGGAAGGTAAAGAGTTCCTCCTCCAGCTCTGACCACCGAGGGCCGACGAGCTTTCAGCTTTTTGAGCCAAACGAGGAGTTTCCTGTCTTTTCTTTAGTCTCTTTTAGGACAACACTGGACAACAGGTTAGGGTTAGGGTTAAGGTTAGGGTCAGGGCTACCTAACCCCACCACCTCCAGAGCTGCTGGAGGTGGTGGGGTTAGGGTTAGGGTCAGGGTTATGGTTATGGTTATGGTCAGGGCTAGGGTCAGGGTTAGGGTCAGGTTTAGGATTAGGGTCAGGGTTAGGGTTAGGGTTAAGGCTAGGGTCAGGGTTA